TCGGGACATCATGAGGACTAAATGGGGTGATGCTGCAAAGTACTTCACACAGTACCTGACATTTACCACCAAACAACTCAGAAATTTTACCTCTGAGTAGCTAATTTAAACAAACATAGCTTTACGACCCATCACACCATTTTCTTTTTTCTTTTTTCACATGTCACTGTAATGAGAACTGGAAGCTTCATCATGGATTCACATCAGTACATAGACCAGAATTTGAGAATCACTGGCATAAACAATTTTGAGGAATAAACTCACTTTTTGTAAAAGGCCCATCTTAGAGAGCTACCCTAACTCATTTAATAAACTGAAAATGCCAAGGAGAGGAAGGAGCTGTGATAACAGTGCTGAGCAGAAATAGATAGAAGCCAAGGCTAGGGGCGTAACCATGAACCATTCAGTTTTTCTAACTCAAGTGAGGATGGGAACACATAACATACTCACATCCCCAAACAAACCGCAATAAGCACAGCAGCAGAAAAAAACACCATATTACCTGATCAGGAAAAATGTGTCAACCCCAAGGTAGAATGGGCCACTCCGAGAATACAGGTACAGTGGGTTTTTAAGCACTCTGGCTTTCCATTCAAGCACATTATCTGTCACACACATAAAAAGCAGTGTCCATTTGTATAATAGGAGAAAATCGTGTGATTTATCTTTTCAGAAAAAAGCCAGAGGAACGCCTTCAACTTTCAGTTGTATGGGGAGAATGGTTATGCATCCTTGTAATTTACTTAAGAGGAGAGCTTGGATTTGAACAGAAGGCGGTGACTGAGGTACCCAATCATCAACAAGGCTTTGAGCATCTCTGTGCTCTCACACTGGCACAGCCCCGCTGGGACTACAGCAGCACCACCTGCTCGTGGACCAGTGCAGAGCTCCCGGGAGGTCCTTCCAACAACCCTGGGCAGACCGCTCCCCTCAGCTCTGATGTATGTTTTTGACCCCTCGCTTAAAGAAGAGCAATGCTGTTGGGAGCGCTTCAGAAGCGGAGCCACTGGGACAAGGTTAAG